CCGCCCCGCCGAGGCCCCGCCCCTTTAATAACGGATATAGGAACACTTGTTATACTATTGGGGCGGACATGGATACAAATTTTGTACCCGTCGAGGGTCACGGGGCGGGTAAGGGTTCAATATACATATCCTAGGGGCCCCGCCCCGCCCCGCCCCGCATATAACTATATTTAATATATATATATATATATATATATATATATATTAATAAGTTATTTTAGCGGCTTACCCAATTACCCATCTCTTACAATCCTAATTTGGGATGTAAACTTGGTATTAAATTTACTTTTGTTTTGGTTATGGTGGAAGTTGGAGCTTAGAACTTTTTGTGATTTGGTTGTATTAAACTTTTATTTTTGTTTATTATGTTCTCTGAATTATGTTATGTGCATGTTATTTTTTTTATTTTTATTAGGATACATAATTTTATTTATATTGTGTCATTCCTAGGCTTTGCACATTTAAATAGCTGGAGTTTAAGTTCCAAAAAGTGGGAGAAAAAAATTTGTTAGTGGGCCGGGCACGGGGGCAGAGTATTTCCTAACGGGGCGGGGTTGGATATGAAAATCCAACCCGTCGCGGATCTCGGGGCGGGTATGAACTTGACAAAAATTAAAAGGGGTGGGGCGGGATTTAGGGAAACCCGCGCCAAACCCGCCCCGTTGCCATCCCTACTCTTGGCCCTCTCAGTCTCTCTCTCTATCTCAAGTCACTACTTTCTATCTTTGATTCTTCTCAGAACTCAGAAATCTCTTCGGACTCGCCTCAGATTATAGTCTCACGACTTTCGTGGCGCAGAATCTGATTTAGTGATTCGTGAATTCGGTCGGATCGGTCTCTGTCTTCTCAGATTTTCGGCTTCTGGTCTCAGTTTGGTAGGTATTTTGTAGCTCTCTTATCTTCTCAGATCTTTTTCTTTTAGATTCATGAAAATGGATTGTGGATACAAATTTCTTATATGTGACTGCTCTACTTGGGGGTTTAGGGTTTGTCATGAATGCAACTCGCTTGTTTGTTCAAGATACAAAGTAATTAGGAAATTTAGAGCTGTTTTGTTTAAGTAAGCTACTTATAGAAAAATTCATGTGTTTTCTTTCGGTAGTTAAACGTTCGTGTTTTAGTTTGCCAGGGTCAAACAATTTTGTGTTCTATTTTACATAATTTATAGAGATAAGATAGAAGCCAAAAGAAGAAAGGAAGATAATAATTTGTGTTCTTTTGTTTGATACTTGAAAGAGAGAAATTGGAGAAAAAAATAAAATAAAAGAAGAATAAAGAAGGAAAAAAAAGGGAAGTAAGTGTGGAGGGTGGTTTAAAAATACTAAAGAGAAGCTTGCAAAATATGTAAAATTCTCATTACCTAGTATGCATTTGACGGAAGCAGAGAGCGATTTCACTGCATCTTTATGGGTAAATAAAGAAACTAACAGAATAGCATCTCTTGATGAGTTGATGATGTTAAACTTGATACTTTTACAAGACTAATAATGCTCTGGAAAAAAAAAGATCCATATACAATACAAGTATTATGGGATAGATTTGATAGAAAGGTACTTCAAAATTTATGTTTAAATTGTACTCGGTTTTACTTAACACATCACAATTACATACACAGGTACCGAGTGACACCCACGTCCAGAGAGAAATCTTTCAAAGAAGAAGATAAAACCCATAAAATCTTAATACTAAAAGCAATGTCATTAAAATCATACACCAACAATACTACAACACACCCCATTTCAAAAATTCATATTCTAAGCTATTAGCAAACGAGAGCACGGCTGGGTTAAAATCTAAAAGACCCAGGTGATAAAGAATGTGTGGCTTTTGGAAAAACTAAAACCACTTCTTTGTGGTATCTCTATGAAAAGTGTATGAATCGTTTTAAGGCTCCAGATATCGCTGATAAACATAATAAAAGTTCACAAGAAAAGCAAAATAGCATTCACATCTACAAGTTGATATCAAACATACCCTTTTCCCAACCTCTCTCCAAGCCATTCATAAGTATGTCAAGCCCTGCATGATAAAAAGGAAATATTAAAGCTAGTGCCAAAAGGATAATATTTGCATAACAATAACAATAACAATATAAAGCAGTGCTTAAATTGAAATTAGGGACACTATGCAACTAATTTTTCATTTTATAGTTACCATTTCATTTTAGAAGTCAACTCATGTATACCAACATTCTGTAATATGTTGCATGCTTAGAACAATTTCATTTCGAAAGAGATGACATTAATATTCTTGAGAATTCAACACCTTATATTCCTATCTCAACAATATATATATATATATATATGAAAGGAAAAGTTTTTTTGGCTGGTGACAAGGTCAAAATTTTGTGTGAAAATGTGTGTGTGAGTGTATATATATAATGTAACTTTTGGGGACCAGATTTCGCTACCTAAGAAGAAAGGTCCAGGAACTATAAAGCTCAGGCTTAAGATAAATCAAAAGGCCAGTGTGATGCCAGTACTCGATTTTTGAGTTCTACTTTATATACATTCTAGTTACAGAATGTATCAAAATTGACATTCTCATAAGAAACTTTGAACTATCTCTCAAATCATAAATGTAGTAAATACTCTAAAAAATAAGTACGCAAAAATGGAAAAAATATAAAAACTAAAAAATCTATTAGAGCAATTCATTGCTTACTTGTGTCTTAGACAACAACTGTAAAGAAAGAGGGATGAAAACTGCCAATTCCTAATCAAAAACCCACTTTCGGAGAAATTATACTCGAAAACAAGTAGTCCCATATTGATATTTACATATGAATCCATGTGGGTGCGTTTTACTTTGACAAATTGAGCAATATATAGACAACATATTTCATAGATAATAAAGATGACGAAAAAAAAAAAAAAAATGGAAATGAGAGAAACCCATCAATAAAATAGAAATTTAAAACTACTTTTGGGTAGAAGAGTGTACCTTCGTTTTTTTCCTAACAAGTAGAGAACTGTGAGGAGGAAGAAACTGATCTCCTTATGGGGTTATAGGTTTTTGGGTACGTTGTCCATACAAGCACGTGAGAGGAGAGATTAGGGAAGATACAGAGGCTACTTTTATGGACCCGTACCATTGGCCCATACTCGACTCGTTCAATGAGAAAAGCCCTTAAAATTACAATTCGTGAAATAGGGGGAAGATTGGGAATTTGGGAGCGGATTCCCAGAGATACGTGGACCTCAAAACGGTAAGTTGTATTTAACTTGCCTTGTAAATATATTTTACATACATTATAAGGGAATTAAAGAAAAATTCAGCAAAAATGAATTAATAAATTGATATAATTATATTAATGTAAGATAAGTAAATGCTAAATTAATAAAATTTTATGAATGTAATATAAGTCCATGCTAAACATATATATAATATATAAGCGATCTTTACGGTTTTCAATTAATTTTCATCATTCTATATCAATGTTATCAAGAATTTTTTTTTTTCTTTTTTTATGACCACTTAATTATTTGTATTTATCAATCTAGCAACTCTCAAAAACTAATTGGATTGATTGACAATTTTTTCAAATTAATCACAAGACCAACAACTATCACTGTTCACAAAAATTCTAGGTCCAAAATATTCTTCTAAACTTTTTAAGTCAAGTACTCCCCATGTCCTAATTTATTAAAATGCCCCCAAGCAGCCCAAAATGCAAAGACTCATCTTTACATTTAATAACCGTTACGAATGCAACTTGGGCTAAATAACCCGAACCTAACATAACCTGAGCCCTCAATTTCTCGTAGGCATTAACAACTTTTTTTACAGTTAGGTTGGGTATGAGTTGAAAATTTTCGACCCAAACTTAATTGGGGTGGGTTTGGATTGATGTGCTAGCAACCCGAGTCAACTTGAACCCAAATTCTAATATAATTTTTATATAATCTAATATTCAAGTTATGATCACTTTTTTTCTTTTCAACTTACTTTGTTTAAATTTTAATTGATTATAATATGTTGAAACTTTGGAGAATTAATTTTCTAAGAATTTGTTTATAATTTACTAAAAAATTGTAATAAGTTTTTAAATCTTTTTATGTCTAAAGGTCACGTTAGGATTGAGTTATGGTTGAACATGTCATATATAGGGTTGTGCTGAAGTTTACCTCGCTTGAATTCCAACCCTACTATAAAAAATCAAAATAACCTATATCCATCTATCGACCAAACAACGTTCGGTTACTCTCTCTTATACTTTTTTTTTTCTTTCATAATTGTGGTTGTATAAAAGAAGAAAAAAATATGTACAGGAGCACAGAGGGCATTCCCCCAGTAAAGTAAAAAGCACCTAATAGAGCTTGGATACAGGCATCCAATCCCTAAATCTTAAAGTTAAAAAACTAAGGACGGTGAAACAAACTCCAATACCCCAGCAAAATAGGAACATAGTAATCTAAAGAGCAATAGAAGCATTGTGTATATCCAACATCTCTAACAATAAATTTCTTGTAACCACTTCAGGTTCAGTGTCATGTCCATAAAGCCTAGCATTTCTCTCATGCCAAACACCCCAAAGAGCAGCAGCAAACAGAGTCGTAAGATATCACACAGCATAACTATTTTTAAACCAGTTAAACAGGTCATCTGTATTTTCTACAGCAGCAAATTGTTGCATATTCCATTGTAACAACTCCCCTAACCGGCTCCAAAATTGTTGAGAAAACCTGCATCCTAGAAATATGCTCAGTTGTATCAATAGCATTGTGACACAGAGTACACCTAGGCACCAAGCAAACCTTTCTTCTCTGAAGATTCACCATGGAAGCCACTTTGCTTAGAAGAACAAAGACAGCAGTAACAGACCATCTAGGTCCTGTTCTTCCCCAGCATAAATTATACCAAACAACTTCTTCTACCTGAGTTTTACACAACTGCCAAGCTTTTTTGAAAGAAAATTTTCCTTTATCCCATAAGAATTTATCTATAGAATCATGAACAGGCACTGAACTCAAAAAATTTCCTTCTTGCTGCAGGTTTAGTCAATTCGAATCCCAAGTACCATTTCTCAGTAACCTGCTCAATGTAGCAGTTTTAGGAGTATTTAGAGACCTTAACACTCTATGTCCAAATCTTTGAGAAAAAGTCAGACCATCACACCGAGGATCTTGCATATTAAACATCAGACCATTCCCAATACAGAAATTGACATGCTGCAACATAGGATCTCTAATCTCCAGCATAGCTTTCCAAATAACAGAATGAGTGATCTTAGGAATGACATTCCAGTAATTTGATTGAGAAGTGTATTTATTCCTGAACCAAGACACCCAAAGTCTATCTTTACTTGTCAAAAAATCCCAAGTAAGAACAACTTTTGAAGCAGACTGAATATTCACAAGTTTTCTCAACCTAAGCCCACCTTCAGCCTTATCTCTAGTAATCATATCCCAACTCATGAGATGTAGTTTTTTGGAATGATCAGTACTACCCCATATAAAATTCCTACACATTTTTTGCAGTTGATTGATCACAAAAACAGGAACAGTATATATACTGCACCAATACAGAAAGATAGGATTAATAGTGGATCTAATAAGTTCCACCTTACCAGCAACAGAGAGCATCTTGGTACACCAGCAGTTAATCTTCCCTGAGACTTTATCAATTAAACATTGACAGTTTGCTTTCTTCAATCCATAAGGGCTTAGAGGCAACCCCAAATACTTGATGGGAAACTGTTCTTCAGAGCATTTCAAAACTCTAAGCAATGTTTGTTTCCTTCTCACTGCCCTTGAAAATATAACAGTGCTTTTCTGTTGACTGATTTGTAACCCTGATAACTCCTCAAAGTTTTTAAATAAACCAACTAAAGCTTTAGCATTAGGGACAGAAGCTTTATAGGCAATCAAAAGGTCGTCAGCAAAGAAAACAAGATTCATTGTAGGTTGAGTTTGAGCAGCAGCATGTGTCACTGAAATTTCTTCTCTCTGAACAGCAGTATTGATAATAGAGGAAAGATGTCATGTAACTAGTGTAAACAACAGAGGGGACAAGGGACACCCTTGTCTAAGTCCCCTACCTGGCTGAATATAACCTTGAGGGGAACCATTAATCAAGACAGAATACCTAGTAGAATTAAGAATTGTGGAGATCCAGGAAATCCAAACAGCACTGAAACCATACCCCTTCAGTATCTTTAGCAAAAAATCCCATGAAACTGAATTATATGCTTTCTTTATGTCCACCTTTAAAGCCATGGAGGCATGTCTTGGTCCTTTAAAGTCCTCAATCATTTCATGAGCCAAAATTAAAGCATCTTGAATTTTCCTATCTTTCACAAATACACTTTGCTTAGGACCAACCAAAGTATTTAGCACCAAAGACAATCTGTTAGCCATTATTTTAGTAATGGCTTTATATATCAAATTACACAATGCAATTGGTCTAAATTCCCCAAGTTTTTTGGCATTACCCACCTTAGGGATTAAAGTGAGAAAACAGCTACTAACTCCAACTGGCATGATGCTATTTGAGAAAAAATATTGCACTGCTGCAACAACATCCTTGCCCACAATTGTCCAATTAGAATTGAGAAGGAAAACCATCTGGCCCAGGAGACTTATCAGGATTGAAACCCATCAGTCACTCGGGTTGCTAGCACATCAATCCAAACCCTACCCCAATTAAGTTTGGGTCGAAAATTTTCAACTCATACCCAACCTAATTGTAAAAAAAGTTGTTAATGCCTACAAGAAATTGAGTTTGGCTCAAGTTATGTTAGGTTTGGGTTATTTAGCCCAAGTTGCATTCCTAACGATTATAAATGTAAAGATGAGTCTTTGCATTTTGGGCTGCTTGGGGGCATTTTAATAAATTAGGACATGGGGAGTACTTGACTTAAAAAGTTTAGAAGAATATTTTGGACCCAGAGTTTTTGTGAACAGTGATAGTTGTTGGTTTTGTGATTAATTTGAAAAAACTGTCAATCAATCCAATTAGTTTTTGAGAGTTGCTAGATTGATAAATACAAATAATTAAGTGGTAAAAAAAAAACAAAAAAAAAAAATTCTTGATAACATTGATATAGAATGATGAAAATTAATTGAAAACCGTAAAGATCGCTTATATATTATATATACGTTTAGCATGTACTTATATTAAATTAATAAAATTTTATTAATTTAGCATTTACTTATCTTACATTAATATAATTATATCAATTATTAATTCATTTTTGCTGAATTTTTCTTTAATTCCCTTATAATGTATTTAAAATATATTTACAAGGCAAGTTAAATACAACTTACCTTTTTTAGGTCCACGTATCTCTGGGAATCCGCTCCCAAATTCCCAATCTTCCCCCTATTTCACGAATTGTAATTTTAAGGGTTTTTCTCATTGAACGGGTCGAGTATGGGCCAATGGTACGGGTCCATAGAAGTAGCCTCTGTATCTTCCCTAATCTCTTCTCTCACGTGCTTGTATGGACAACGAACCCTAAAACGCATAACCCCATAAGGAGATTAGTTTCTTCCTCCTCACAGTTCTCTACTTGTTAGAGAAAAGACGAAGGTACACTCTTCTACCCAAAAGTAGTTTTAACTTTATTTTATTGATGGGTTTCTCTCATTTCCATTTTTTTTTTTTTTTTCATCATCTTTATTATCTATGAAATGTGTTGTCCAGATATTACTCAATTTGTCAAAGTAAAACGCACCCACATGGATTCATATGTAAATATCAATATGGGACTACTTGTTTTCGAGTATAATTTCTCCGAAAGTGGGTTTTTGATTAGGAATTGGCAGTTTTCATCCCTCTTTCTTTACAATTGTTGTCTAAGACATGAGTAAGCAAGGAATTGCTATAATAGGTTTTTTAGTTTTTATATTTTTTCCATTTTTGCGTACTTATTTTCTATAGTATTTACTACATTTATGATTTGAGAGATAGTGCAAAGTTTCTTATGAGAATGTCAATTTTGATACATTCTGTAATTAGAATGTATATAAAGTAGAACTCAAAAATCGAGTACTGGCATCACATTGGCCTTTTGATTTATCTTGAGCCTAAGCTTTATAGTTCCTGGACCTTTCTTCTTATGTAGCGAAATCTGGTCCCCAAAAGTTACATTATATATATACACTCACACACACATTTTCACACAAAATTTTGACCTTGTCACCAGCCAAAAAAACTTTTCCTTTCATATTATGGGTATGGATCCATATCATTTCTTCCTTTCATATATATATATATATATATATATGTTATTGAGATAGGAATATAAGGTGTTGAATTCTCAAGAATATTAATGTCCTCTCTTTCGAAATGAAATTGTTCTAAGCATGCAACATATTACAGAATGGTGGTATACATGAGTTGACTTCTAAAATGAAATGGTAACTATAAAATGAAAAATTAGTTGCACAGTATCCCCAATTTCAGTTTAAGCACTGCTTTATATTGTTATTGTTATTGTTATGCAAATGTTATCCTTTTGGCACTAGCTTTAATATTTCCTTTCTATCATGCAGGGCTTGACATACTTATGAATGGCTTGGAGAGAGGTTGGGAAAAGGGTATGTTTGATATCAACTTGTAGATATGAATGCTATTTTGCTTTTCTTGTGAATTTTTATTGTGTTTATCAGCGATATCTGGAGCCTTAAAACAATTCATACGCTTTTCATAGAGATACCACAAAGAAGTGGTTTTAGTTTTTCCAAAAGCCACACATTCTTTATTACCTGTGTCTTTTAGATTTTAACCTAGCCGTGCTCTCGTCTGCTATTAGCTTAGAATATGAATTTTTGAAATGGGGTGTGTTGTAGTATTGTTGGTGAATGATTTTAATGACATTGCTTTTAGTATTAAGATTTTATGGGTTTTATAATCTTCTTCTTTGAAAGATTTCTCTCTGGACGTGGGTGTCACTGCTTGGTACCTGTGTATGTAATTGTGATGTGTTAAGTAAAACTGAGTACAATTTAAACATAAATTTTGAAGTACCTTTCTATCAAATCTATCCCATAATACTTGTCTTGTATATGGATCTTTTTTTTTCCAGGGCATTATTAGTCTTGTAAAAGCCTCAAGTTTAACATCAAGAGATGCTGTTGTGTCAGTTTCTTTATCTACCCTTAAAGATGCGGTGAAATCGCTCTCTGCTTCCGTTAGATGCATACGAGGTAATGAGAATTTTATATATTTTGCAAGCCTCTCTTTAGTATTTTTGTGTTTCTGTTTGGACTATCACCTGGGCTTACAGGTTGTTCAACATGTTATTTTACATATTTGTACTCGAAACCATCCCTTTATATGTCAAATTAGGGATGCACATGATTCTGATCAGATTGGTTTTTTTTGACAAGTAATATTTCATAAAAGGCGATCAAAAGGGGTGTGCTCCCAACAGAATACAAAGAAGCCTAAAATGGCACTATAATTTCAAGCTATCCTCAAAATCTAAAAGGTGCTCCAAAGATTTACAATTTGCCCCATTGACCCAACAAAATGGAGTAGAAAGAATATTGTATTTGAGAGACCAAATAAGGGACTCCTCTCCATCAAAGGATCTCCTATTTCTCTTATGCCACAGAGCCCACCATAAACAAAGGAGTGTGGCTCTCCACGTATCCCTGGCTCGGCTTTCCACTATACACCCTCTCCAAGCCTCTAGCATATCAACTGTGGACTCGGGAAACACCCGAGCCATGCCAAAAGAAATCAAGAAGAAGGACCACACATCCCTTGCCATTGGATAATGAAAGAGAAGGTGGTTCACTGATTCGTCCGTCCTTTTGCACATACAACACCGGTTAACGGCTATCTGGCGTTTCCACGATATGTGAGATAATTATAATAAATCACTCTTAACAATAGCCACTCTCAAAGTTTTTCACATCAAACTTTCATACAATCCTTAATACATAACTCACACATTACAAAACAATGCTTTATTCTGACAGAGGTAAAAATGTAATAATTTCCAACCTGATTTAGTTCAACCAAGAACAAATATCAGTAGTCGAAACAATCTTGACTCTCAGAGTCTAAACCTACATAACATTAGAGGTTCTTATATTCCAAATTATATACATTACCATAAGTCTATAATATATAAGAAGGCACTACAACGTGTCTCATAATCACACTATCTATAACTTTAACTAGTCCATACCACCTCAAGACATAGCAGTCAAATTTACTATCTCAACTAGCCCAAAATACAAGCCAAGTCCCGAGTCATACATCTCATGTTCACACTTCTATTCTTCTCCACAGATTGCTCACCAAGATTAGAACCTGAAAATGATTGTCAAAAAGAGTGAACTCAAAGAGCCCAGTAGAGAAAATCGAAAACTACCACATTGAGATTTTTCCAATGGAATACTCAATTTTCAAGAAGATCAATTTTCAAATATTAATAGCATTTCTAAAAAGATTATGGAGTAAAACCATTTGGCTTTCGAGTATGAGTTCAAACAAAATATCAGGTTTCATTTCACAAGCTGATATTGTGTCAACCAAACATGGTAAATTAGCTCATAAAATTTATCCGTAATTTTTATTTTTCATTTCATCAAGTAAGTGCAACTATCAACCAATGGTGGCTCTCCAAGAGGAATCCACTGGCCAACTTTCGCATCGGCATGGCCCCAATCCTCAATTACCCGCACAAGGGGTATACCATGTGGTTTCAGGTCATTTACCCAAGCAAATGGTGGTTCTCTGAGAGAAACCCACCGGCCAACCTTTTCACCGGCGTGGCCCTAACCCTCAATTTCATCCTGATTTAACTTTGTTGCTTAATCATTAATAAAAAAACGATTTCTATGTTAATAGCTTTCATATAACATTTCCCGTTTTCAAAATCCAGCATTGGAGCATGGTGATCAACCTATCTTATTGAATTAAATCAAATCTTCAATTTAATTATACCATTCTGAGAAATCTAACTCTAATAGGCATTAATAGGCTTCAAATAAAAATTTGGGGTATCACATGAGGTGTATGGCAAAAAATGTTCTAACCAATCTAATAAAAACACATGACCATATACTTGCTTGCTGGTTTGGTTCGGTTCAGGGTGGCCTTTTTGCTCCCCAATTTGCAAAACAAACTGATTCCAAAGATTTCCTTAATTTTGGAACTGGCTAAACTGCTGACCCTTTGCATTGGATTGGTTTAATGGTTCATTTGTGCACCCCTAGTCAAAATGCAGTTGTCTGTGTGCAATTTAGCACGGATTTGAATGATTGATCAATTAACTATGGCTTGCGGCATGAACACTTTTATGTGCAATATCTGCTTATTCTACATCTTCTGCATCAATCATAATGGTTGAAAGATAAATGTAGAGCAGTATAAGGGAGGTTTAAAGTATAATCCATAT